GATAAATACATTCCTCTTATTGTCTCTGAAGTGGTTTTACGATCTTCAGGATAATTTACAGCAGAATTTTGCAAGAACTCCAGTATTTTTAAAAAATGAGATAAAACCATATGTATGTGTTGCTCAGACAGTAGTACCCCGATACAAAGACGAGTCCAGCTGACGTGGCCTCACCAACGGGATACGAACACTCCACCGACAGCTCCATGGCAACCGGGTAGATGGAAAAACCGAAGAAGCCGAAGAAAGAGCAGACGGCAGCCACGGCGACTTTCTGCTGCGGCATCAGAGACACCTGAGAGCCCGGGACCAGAAAGAAAGGCTTTTAGGCTTTGATACAATATAATATATGTTTTTTCCACATATTAAAGTACATCAGAGTCACCTGAGTCTTTTTGTTTTAGCTCAGGTGAAGGTTTACTATAATACTGGATGGCATTATTTGGTCACTCTCGAGCGTTCTTAATATTCTGCCACCCTCGTGTATTTAAACAGGGGTTGTTTAACTGCGTTTACAATCAATAAACTACAGACTTGTTTATTTTGGGGCTCGCTGGCACCCGCGGCTTTTTAATTTCTTTCTATTAAGTCAGACACATTAGAAGTGAGAGTCAGAGTGGGAGAAGAATTGAAACCTGTAAGGGGAAAAAGCTTTTTAAAACTTTTCATCACCTGTCACTGACGACACGCAGCCTTCTTGATGACCACTGACCTTTAATGCTTCAGAATAAATACCCAAATAAAGTCCCGGAGATTCTCGAAGCTTGTTTTCAAGTGTTTATAGGAGAGCTTTGATTAAATTCAGTCAATGATTCATACCAGTCGCTCGTCTTTGGGTACCTAAATTTTAATGCATATCCAACTCTGTACATTTAGATGTATTTACATACAGGCTGTATTTATTATTATTTTTAAATATTTATATTTAATTTATAAGCTACACATTTCCTTGTTCCCTTCCTCGCACCTGCAAATGTGTGAGAGCATATGCCAGAGTCATTTTACTGATCGACCAAAGTGGCTCCGCAGTGGATTTTTCTAATGTTAGCTCAGTTTCCCGTGATGAAAACATGCCTTTCCATAAAATTTTAAATGTGAGCTCCAAAGAGGGCAAAAAAACCCAGACTACTATATTCATAACATAACATTTTCCTGACTTTCAAGTTTATCTTTTCAATTTATGTAACACACATTAGTTGGTGTGAGACTTTCACCTTCACATCACTGTTTTTTTGTCTTTTATACCAGTTAACGATCATTTTAAAAGTTCATTATTTTGTCCATAATACTGGAGAAGAAGGGTTTTGAGCATTTAAGAAAGTATATGGAGTAAATTATTTGGGTTGTGTGCATATAAATCCCGCGTCTGAAGACAGTTTTCTTTATGTAGTGGATGTCCTCTCAATAACCTGATATAGAATTTTAATTTATGCTGTATATAACTGAAACACTGCATTAACATAACAGAGCTGTCAGCATAACCTGATAAAAAGACCAAACAAGCCTTCTCTTCAAAGTGTTTGCACATCAAACACAGAGTCTTTCCATTTCCTTTAAGCACCCTCAACTTCTGTCTGACACACACTTCAGGCAAATAGAAACGTCTGCCTGGAAAAAACTGTACGTTAGTTTGCAAGAGGCGTTTACCAGTTTTAATATAGACAAAAAATTAACTTCAAGAATCTGCAGCACATTTTTGACAGCATGGTTTGTGTGTCAGCACACAAAAAATACTTTAGATTAAGAAATAATCATTAAAATCTGTCGTGAAATGAATACAATCCTGCTGAAAAGAGTTCAGCATTAATGTTCATATTAAATATCAAAATCAGAGGAGAAAAAGAAAATATCCATAATTTCCTAGATTTCCATTGCAGCAGTCTCTAAAACTCAGAA